GTGAAGTTTTATTCTTTTTTACTCTCCTAAGAGGGTGTTCTCACATGAACTAACCCCTATATATATATATATATATATATATATATATATATATATATATATATATATATATATATATATATATATATATATATATATATATATATATATATATATATATAAAAGAGAATGATCAGGTCCAAACGTTCAGACATAAGCCTCCGTCCGAACATCCTCGTTTGGGGTCCTTCCCGATGGAATGTTTTGATAAAAAATTTTGAGCGTGTTCCTCATTAAGTCTAGTTTGTCCATACCAAATTTCAGATCAAAATTCGATAGGGAAGGCATTCATTTTTTTTTAAGTTGACTGCGTTTTTATTTGTATATTTTGATGCAGTCAACTTCAAAAAATGATTTGGATGCCTTCCCGATCGAATTTTGAGCTGAAATTTGGTATGGACAAACAAGACTTGATGAAGAACATGCTCAAAAAAGTTCAACAAAAATTTCTACCAGAAAGTGGCCCAAACGTCCATGTTCGGACGGTGCTCGGACGGGTAATGTTCGGACCCGAACATCCCCCCCCTCTCTCTCTCTCTCTCTCTCTCTCTCTCTCTATATATATATATATATATATATATATATATATATATAATAAATATATATTTGACACCATAAGCCAACACTTGGCTCTAGGGCTGGGACCGGTTCGGTTCTTACTCAAAAATGAGTGGAACCGTTATAAAAGTTTTAACTAATGAAATCGGTTCGGTTCCTATATAAAAAATCAAGAACCGTTATGGAACCGAACCGGTAGTAAACGGTTCGGTTCTTTCTTTTACCGGTTCCTAGAATAATTTTTTCTCGTCTTAGAACTAACACATAATTTTAAACACGTCGAAAATTCAAAACACGAGTATTAAAATTTTATTTGAAGCTCTAATCACTTCAAACATCAAAGCTCAAACTTAACTAATGAACTTTGAACACTTAATAGAACAAAAGTGATTTAAATTTTCATGTAATAAATGAAACATTAAAAATCGTTGTATTGTCGGAGCGATGAAGGTTACTCGTCATCATAGTAGCAAGAATAAGACGTCTACTTCAAGTCGTTCAAAACATAAAAAAAAAGACATTGAGTTTGCATGTATAGATATAAAAAAACATTATTACATTATATTGATTCATAATAAATCTAATAATTAGAAATATCATGAAAATAGTAAAGTAAAATATGTGCAATCAACTACAAGTTATTTGGGTTATTTTATATTTACAAAATTTATGTGATGGAACAAAACTTGATTTGTAGAAAGGAGTTTAATGTATTATATCAACCTCATGTACAATATTTATTACTTCTTTTCCGTTGATTAAATTAGAATTGTTAGTTAAATATCTTATATTGTTTTATTATTGTTGTTGTGGTGGTGGTTTATATCGCTATTATATTATTATTATTATTGTTACTACTACTACTAATATTATTTTATTTTTTATTTTTTAAATAACGGTTCCTTAACGGTTCCATGCACATATTTTTTATAGGAACCGGGAACCGAACCGTTATAACCCGCTTCGGTTCGGTTCCTACAAATGAGGCATTAATTGTTAATGGTTCGGTTCCTAGATGTTGCTAACGGTTCGGTTCCAATCGGTTCTACGGTTCCCGGTTCCAAAATCCCACCCCTACTTGGCTCCACCCGTGACGGTCAATCTAACAAGTACCCAACTGTCAAGTACCCAAACTTCAAATGGAAAAAGCACTTGTATGTCGATAATTCCTATATTTGAACATGTAGACTACTTCTATCATTAGTTATACAGAAATTTCCCTAAACAAGAGTAAAAACATTTTGAAATTTCAAAATAAGACTTTCAAGTTTTTTATTCCTTGAATATGAGTAATCTGCCAAGTTTGGGAAAAAAATGTCATGTTTAAAGTCTAGTATGCCAAAGTTGACAGAAATTTACTTCTATTCAAGGAATAAAAAACATTATAGTCCTATTTTGGAAATTTCAAAACCTTTTTACTCCTATTTAGAAAACTCTCTTACTTATATGCAAAGGTAGATGAAAAATACGTGTACACGCATATGCAGTTATGAACGTGTCACGTGTGTATTAAACATGATTCTTGATAATATATGCAGTTATGAACGTGTGTATTAAACATGATTCTTGATAATATATACTTAAATTTTTATACGCTTACATCCCTGTATTTCTTAAATATGGTTTAATTTCTTGTATACCTCAGGTGAAAAATTATTAAAGTACATGCAATGATGCAAAGTCATGTGTTTGTGTCTTGGCAAGAAGGCTCTTCAACATTCCCAGATGTTAATGATTCACCCGGGGCCAGCAGCTTAGCCAGGGCTAAAAAAAGGATGACACCCCATCCCTGAGGGCCCCCCAACACCGTCCGGACGGCACGATGGGAGGATGTAAATTGGACTATAATCACAATCTGACAGATAGAGAGTGGGGCTCTGTCCCCGGTACTTGCAGAGGCCCTATGCATTTTTAGCATAGTAACCTCTCATCGCATTTGCCGGGATTCGAACCCGAGACCTAACCCTTGTGACACCCCCTCGCTACCAGTTGAGCTACGCCCACCGGTTAGCCAGGGCTAAAAGAATGCACACATGGTTAATCAAGATTTCCGTCACTATGCCCCCGTTTAATCTGTACTCCTAGCCTATGGGGTATAGGTGGAGCTAGGGCAACTTGTCCCCTGACCCACAGTAATTCCTAAAAGCCTATTTGGCAGCTTAGTTTTTTGGCTTATCAGGCTTATCAATCAATTTTTTCACCAAACACGTAATATTTGATTTCACGCGCTGAACTGCGTAATAATAAGAAAAAGTAAGGTTGAAGTTACTTTTCTGGCTGTATTGGCTGAAATTACCGTAGATGAAATAAAATATATATTTTTTACATATAATTTTTCTTTATCTTATTAATAAAATATATTTTATATATAATTTTTTAATAAATCAGTAGAATCACCTTATTCAGCCACTTAAACCAGAACTTCATAAATTTTAGCGGAATCAACCGATTCTGCCGAATTTTGACATTACCAAACGGGTGCATAATTCAATTCTGAGTTTGCTCAAATTTTGATTGACACTCAGAAGTACAAACATTTGCACATGCTAAAGCGTGAGCAACACGATTCGCTGAACACTTACGAAATAAAATCTTAAAATAAATATGATTTTAAAAAATAGAACGAATATCATTTAAATTCAGCTGAAAATAAGAATAACCACCTTGTAGTAAAACACTCTGAACTACCCCCAAAGCATCAAAATTTATACCGTGGGATTGGCCCACCGTGCGCATGGTGTTCCGATCCCGAACGGCGTCGTTTTATTGACTAAAAACGAGGGCTTTCATCGATCGCAGCAACTAGAGCACCTCTATCGCAACAGCTCCAAGGTAGTACATGTAAGCTTTCTCATTCTCCTCCTCCACTTCCTCCTCCTTTCTTCTTTCTCTATTAATGAATGAATGAAAGTCTATTGTTCCAGAAGATTTATGCATAACCCTTTTAAATTGAAAGCAAATTCTTTTGATTTGATTTAGCAGGTCTGCGTATCATTCCAATTCAGATAAATCTGAATTTTTCCATTCTCCTGGATGTTGATTTCACAAGTTATGATTTCACAAGTTACATCTCCTTATTCCCAAGTTACATTTGAATAGGCTAAAGTTACATTCACAAATTACATCAGATTTGTTCCCAAGTTACATTTGAATCAAAGCAATTTATATTTCAATGAGTCACATTTGAATGAGTGTAATTTACATCTTGATAAACTTGAAGTTACGTGTGAATTCACATGATTTACATTGCATATAACCTTGGGAGCAGGATGGTAACCCTGCATTGCTACGGTGTGGCAACTGCCAAAGCATCTCCCTCATTGCTAGGGGGCCAACCCGGCTGCTCGGCCCCCTCTAATAAAAGTTTTGTTAGAGGCCCCCCCTCAAAAAACCAATCTTTATACTGGCAACCAACATTCCCACACCACAAAATTCACCAAATGTTACGCACCCATCTACGATGAAAATGAATGGAAATGGTGGTGTTCATTGTGTTCCCTCCTGCACACAAAGTAAGAAAGTAACAGCCCTGACCACGCTAACTGGTCGGCCAAGTTGAGACTGCGGAAACCAACCGAAACTAATAGGCCCAATCTTCCCATACAAAGGCCTCATTCATAAAGCTTAATGGATATAGGCCCACGAATTCAAACCCATATTTCCTGTGAGTGATATTAATCCCAAGCTTATAACTTTGTGATCTTAACTTTGAGTCACATATCATGAAAAATAGAATCACCAAACGGTCTCTTAGTTTTATAGTTATAGTCATTTTCTTTACTAATCCTCTTGGCATTCAGTATTGCTTGACTCGTAAAATCTTTTCAGGATGCAGATTAAAGATGTTAATGATGTTGATGATGGAAAGATATATGCACCAGAGTGGAAGGATTTGTGTCTGGGAATCCATCTTTGTTCAAGAACATGGCAATTCCTTATTTGATGTCACTCTTCTATCCTATCCTCTGCACTTCTTCAAACCACTTCTTGAAAAATTCATTCTACTAATTTGACTAACATGAACCAGTTACATGCTTATATATGACTATTTATTATGCAGGGATTTCATCAGATGTATATGTATGAATGACTCAATAGCACCTAGTTTTAGAATTTACTGAGATTGACAAGGGAATGGAAATCAATACTATGGTTATATGACAATTACCACCACTAGTTCTACATCATTTGAGTAACTACACCACTTCATCAACTGGTGTGACTTATCATTTCCTTCAAGTTCATCGGGTAGCACATGTTGATATGCAAGCTCGACCACACATTATCAGCAATGATCGCATTAACCGCATCCGTTGGATGAAACTGGTCCCACCAAATATGATTAGTTGCATTGCTGCAAGCCATTTCAGGTGCTATACATAGAAACCACCCTTTATACCTCCCAAAACCGCAGCATGCTTCTGCTGTTACATTGAAACCTAAAACAACAAATACGCAAGCAAAAAACAATTAAACATTCATATGAAAAAGAGAAGAAGAAAAGAAAAAAAGAGATTAGCTTCTGACCATAACGGTCGTGATTCTCCATAATGTCCATTGAGGCTTGAAATGCATCACAGAAGATGATCCTCACACCGACAAGCTCCTGAGCAAGTTCTTCAACCATTTGTCTCATTTCAAAGTTGAATTCAAGAATCATGTCATTTATCATGTCAACACACTCCCCATTTGTTTCAGGGTACATCCACAGATAATAAGGTGCACAACCCATTGGTGCCAACCCCATCACAACCACTTTCCTCACATTATCATTGTACAGGTTCTGCCCATTTACATAACAAGAATGTGACACTCACACATAGAGAAAAGTTAAAACATCCTAAGAATATAAAAGAAACTGGGGTGTTACCTTTATCTCCCGCTTCATAGTCTGTGCCAAGAACTGGTTGAATCTCCATGGAAGGTAGAGCGTTTGAACATTCGACACGTTACGAAGATAGTAATGTATGTAGTCATTGGTCCCCATAGAAATGTAGAAGACAGATTTTGAGATGAGATCAGATGCAACTTCTTCACCCATGCTTAGTGTAAACTGCTGAAACGTGTCTGTCACCTGCTGAATCTGCTGTGTGAGTGAGATATGCTGACCCTGCGTAAAATTTTCACCCAAATTCCTTGTTTAGGAGTACAAGAATAAAAACTCTAATTCTGGAAATGGTGTCTCTTTTAGAAGATAGTACAAAAAAGTGAAAAATGTACCAGTTCTGAACCGCTGGAGAAGATGATCCCTGCTCCTGCAGAAGCATAATTCACGCCCCGAATCATGTCTTTAACAGAGCCTCTCAGCCCAAGATAATTCGGAACAAAAGGAAGCCCAAGACGCAATGCTGAAAAACAAAAATATAACGAAATCAGAATCAAGAACCAGTCTTTTCGTAAAAATCTGCAACCCCAAAGATTTTAAAATCCGAAAAAGAAGAAACCGGACCCAAATTGTGCGAAAAGATGAATATAAATCAAGAGAAACTAAAGTCCTTAAAGATTTCAGATTAGTTCACGAAATCGTCAAGAAATTCATACCCAGATAATCCACAGGGATTCTTCCGTTGCTGAAACGGCCAGTGGGCTGATGGGTGTCGAAATCTCGGCCGTAGGGAGGCCTGTCCGCCCGAGCAAACGTGCCGAGGAAATTGTTGGTCCCGCAATCGACGGAGGAGTCGCCGATAACGAACAAAGCCGGGACCAGAGGCGAGGAGGAGAAAGAAGGAGAAGGGGCTGGGCCGTCGCTGATGGCGATATCCACCTGAGCTGACGATTTTCTGTAGTGAAGAGAGATGAGAATCAAGAAAGCTCTGAGCACTGCAGAGAAGGCCATGGTGCGACTGTGGATTGAAGTTTGGTTCGATTGGCGGGAAATCGGAACTATTTAACAAACTCACAACGGTAGTTTGTAATTTTGTCTCCGAATCATAGTCTCCTGGAGTCCAGGGTAAGAAAGGGGTTATTGAGCAAAATGCTTAGTATATGTATACACAAAATCCCCCTAGTTGTCTGTGTACACAGACAAATCGTTTAAAAGAGCCAGAATTTCATGTCAAATTGTCTGTGTACACAGGCAGTGTACACATTTTGTGTACAAGTTGTGTACACCAAGAATGGTCCATTGAAATAATCAGTCAGCCCTTTTTCCTTCTTTTGGGAAACATGTATATGTATATGAAGTAAGGAAAAACTTACCAAACTTTTAAATATATCTCAAATAAGAAAGTGTAATAAACTTTTGAATACGGAGGGAGTATAAAGAGTTACTTTTTTTGAAAATAAATTGTCTATATTGATATAAAATTTAATCACAGTTCTTATATCAAATTCAAAATTAACAATTTTCTCATGTCTAGACTCGGTAACAATCGGAATGTTCATTCACACCCTGATTAGACAAAGAAATGATTGCCCAAAAATGAATAAATCGTTTCACTATTCATGTGAGAGTTTAAAAAAAATCGGCCTTTAGACGCCTAGATACTTGTGTGTGACATACTTGATCACTGCCACTTTAAGACCCTCTCACACACGTGTGTGTTGAGATGGTTGGGTTGGACTAAGTGTGTTTATCCCCTTGTGAGATTCAGTGGTGTTTTGGGTGATTGTTGAGCGTGATCTGAGCCAGAGAAGTGAACATCCAACAGTGGTATCAGAGATGAATCTTCATGTCGACACCTCATCCTCCCCCTGGAACTCCTCCGCCACCGCGTTGCTATAGTTCTATGTCGGAAGGTAAGTCAAGATACCCCTGGATCTAGATCAGGTAAATCGACGATGAAAACCCTAGGTTGCCGAGTGCCTCCGGATTTGTGTGATAGTCTGTTCTTTATTGTCATCTCTTTACCCCTCCCCGTTTTGTTTGTGTGGCTAGACTGTGGAGTCTGGCTATTGGCCTAGTCTGATTTCCTCCCAAATACGTTGGCTTGATTTCATTATCTCTGTGAATCTGCATGAGTTGATCTTTGGGTTTTCCATGTTGATTTTGTGAGTATATGAGTTTAGCTTACTTGGTTTGTGTTCTCTGCCTACTTCTGTTCGTTTTTGTCTAACTGAGAACCTTGTAATCTCGAGCAGTTGAGGTTAGAGTTGATGCATTTATTTTTTGATCTCCGTGTTTCCTGTGTACGTCAATTGGCTGTCACCATGTATGCATACCAACATGGTATGCTTCCTTTTAATGGTGAATATGATTTTGACATTTAGAAATAGAAAGTTAAATGTGTTTAATCCAACAAAAGGTTTTTAGAGTCGTAACTTGCAAGTTTCTTGAAATTGAGGATGCTACACTGAGCAATTTGAAATGAACAATAGAACATGTTCTACTTTATGCCTAGACCTTTCTGGCTCTGTGCTTAGAAATGTAAGTATCTTAAACTATGCAAAAGATTTGTGGGATAAACTGGGGAATATTTATACTGACACCTCTTTGTATAGGAAATTATGTTTACTTGAATTTGTTTTCCAATCCAGGCTCAATCTGACCAAAGACATTGATGCAATTCAAAACATAAGCTTATTCAAAACATTATGTTTAATGCTTTCCAATCCAGATCATAAGCTTATTCAAAACGTTAAACAGGTTGGTGATACGAATATTGATGATTATACCTCTATTGTGTTGTTGAATGGTATTCCTAACTCTTATAATGATGTTAAATTTGCTATAAAGTATGGTATGAGTGATATTTGTTTGGATATTGTTGTTAATGAGTTAAAGAGTAAGAAGCTAGATCTTAAACATTCTAGAGTTAGTAAGAACGAGTCCGTGAATTCCCGTGAGGCATTGTTTGTAGATCTAAAAGTAGGTCTAGAAACCCTAAGCATAATGGCCATGGTAAAACAATAGTCAACCAGGTAAGAAGAGACACAAGTTCAGAAAACGCATTTGGTACAACAGTGGCAATCCTAACTTTTTTATAAAAGACTGCCCCAACCCTAAATAATCTGATCAAGCAAGTGCTAACTCAATTAATATTTATAATTGTTACAAGAGACATAGCCATCAAACCAGAGACTGCTCTAGGGTGAGACACAAAGTTGAAAAATCACTTATTAGCGATCCAACTCGATAACCCCCTCTATGTGGTAGACTCCACCACAAACACTGATGCACCTGCTACTAAAAGGGGGACCGAAAACAACAAAAATGTCTTGGGATGAAGAATAATAATTAAATTAACAATGCCCATTTTTCCAGCCGCCGCCAAAGGATCTGAGCTCCCCTCCCCACCGTCTAACCCCTTCGTCTCAAGAGTCCATCACTGAATTAGGAGGTACCTGCCAATTAGCACTGCCTCCTGCAAGTTTTTTGGCTCCTCATTATCCACGTCCATTCTTGCTTGGACTCGGGCTGTCTGACCCCTCAAGCATAACTCTAGATCCGCTTCCTCTAGGAATCAACCACTTGTTCCTCGAATGCACATTTCTTTTCATATCCGCGCGTAGCCAGGCGCTGTGTGGCTTCTCTCCAATCCAGGGTCTAGTGTGGGTATTAGATGGGCAAAAACGATTTTCATATCCCAAAATCCCCCATAGGAAATAAAAATTTAGGAACCTCTCATATCGTAAATCTGCGCAAATCCAATTGTCATCTTCTTGATGCACCATCAATCTCCTAGTCAAAGCATTAACCGTCATGTACCTCAGAAGAAGATTGGGAACTTGCATACTCCAATGACACCTCAAGTGGTCTATCGGTGTCCCCTAACCTTCTTAATACTACTCCATCGTCCATTAAAACTTTTTCAAGTTTGACTGACACAAAGATTAATAAAGTAAAAATTGTATGATAGAAATTTGTGTAGAAGAGAGAGAAATAATTAGAATCACAAATTCTTTATTTAAAAAAGAAAAAAATGACAAAAATAATAATGGAACAACTAAAAAAGAAAACCAACAAAGTTGGATTTTGAGTTACAAAAAAAACAAAGTTGGATTTTGTTCAAAAGACCAAAACTTCGTAGATAACACGGCTCACGTCTCCCTCCTAATAGAACATGAGCAAACACTTGGAATTGTCTATTGGGGAAATTTGAGTTTGCACCCCATTTTATTGTTTAAATTAGACTTTACACCATGTTTTTAAAAATCTTTTTTTTTGCACCCCAACTCCATATAAAAAGCTATGTTGTAAAAACCGGACCGGTGAGCGTCCCGGTCATGTGACTGGGTCACGGGTCAACCCGGACCCGGAGGGTCAACCCGGTCAAATCCGGAAAACCGGTCAACGATTATACGTCTATATAATAATAATAATAATAATAATAATAATAAACATATAATTATATACACTCTCATTATATATTTTTATTTGTATCGTACAATTATATTATAATTTGGCATGATTTTCATTCTTAAATAAATATATAAATATATTACATAGTTTTTCTTTTTAGTGAATTGAAATTGTAATTTTATTGGTTTAAAAAATGAATTAAAATTAAAAAATAAATTACTTGTTTTTTTGGAAAAGACCGAAAACCGGGTTTTCCCGGGTTTTTCGGGTTTCTTGGGTCGGGTCCGGATCGGATTTTTTCGGGTCAGTCGGGTTTTTCCGGTTTTTGACCATTTTGGGGTTTTGAAGAAACCGAACCGGATTTTTGTCCGGGTCACTGGGTTCCGGGTCAACCCGGCCGGGTCGGGTTGGTATTATGTCTATTTCGTCGATAAGAAGTAAGAACTCATATACCACTCGTGCCACCGCCCAGAAGCACACCCCCGTCACCCCCACCGGACCCAGGGGCGGAACCACCATAGAGCCCGGAGGTGCCCGTGCCCCTGCAGTGAATTATTTTTCTTTTAAATATATATACATATTTTAATTTTTATTAATTTGAGCCCCTGCAGCCCAATCCCAATTCCCCCTTTCCCTTGTTTGTCCGGGTGAATCCCACTTCCCTCTTCCCCAGCAGCCCAATCCATTAAGGCTCAACAGCTCAACTCAAGCCCAACTTCCCTTTCCCCTTAGCCCCCATATCGCTTCAGCAGTTCGGCGGAATCGGCGTTTCAAACTCACATCAGTCTGCAGCAAGCCATCAACTATAGCAACTCAGCGAAGGCCGACGGACTGTGAGCACCTCAACGACGGCCGACGGCAACTGTGAGCATCTCTGCGATGGCCGATGGAGACTGACCAGTGATTTCTTTGTTATTGTGCCCCTGCGAGTCACGGGTCCTGGTTCCGCCACTGACCGGACCTGCTTCCGGAACCAACCCCCTTTTCTCCTCCTCCTCTGCAATGACAACTTTGCTATATTCTTCAAGGGTGTAAAAAACTTGTAGCAAACAAAACTTCAACCAAAATAAATTATTTAACAATCAAACAAACGCTCACAGGAAGCGCACAAACCCTCGGCAAAACAGACACGCCGCACAAAAACTCTACCACCAATCACTAACAAGAGAACAAAAGAAGAGAGCAACGAATTGAAGAAGTGAAAATCGGAGCATACAGTGCAAAAGACTGGATACTGATTGTGGTGAGTGGTAAGCTCTTTCAGGACGGTGGACGGGCTTGATTCATGAATGGGCCATCTCAGCCACTGTCCAGAACTCTGATACACCTTCTTCCCCCCTCGGCCCCATGCACCATTGCACATTATGAATCACTCTTATACCGTTGCTCTACCACCAAGTCATTAAGCACCACTAAGCAAGTGCATGCTCACATTCTCAGGATTCAACTCTTACACCATCACGACTCCACTCATTTCCTTTCCCTCCTCACAGCTTCCTATGCGCTCTGCTCCCAAACATCACTTGCTCGCAAGGTGTTCGATGAATTGTCTTTTAGAACTTTGCTTTCTTATAAGAGCATGATAAAAATGTATACAGAAACCGGGGCTCCCCATGATGCTCTCAAGTTATTCGATGAAATGCTCCACTCCAGTCAGCAAATGCCAGATAGGTATACATTTCCCTTTGCAATTCGTGCCTGTG